TGCTTTCACTATCAACTATCTTCCACCCATGTCACCGTCTCAGCGTCCGGCAAGCTGCGGAGCACCCGGTGAATATCCTTGTTTGCGGTGGCTGAATAGACAGATTTGCAAAAGTTCTTGAACTAAGTCGCCCTCTAGGCATCCCGTTCGCCCTCCACAGCGGCTGTGGTTTCTTCCTGCATTTGGTTACTGGTTTTCGATATTCCGGCAATAGATGTCAGCGTGCTTCTGACTACATATCAGTTATGTCGGTGGTATTCGGCCCTTTGGCAGAGCTGCAAGACCTGGGTATAGCCAATGATCTAACCACTTCAGCTGTGATGCCCCGACGGAGAATCTCAAGCCTCTCCCTCCTTTTGCCTAAGTGACCAACTCAGATTTATACACGGTATTAAATTCACCGATTCAATGATCGTTGCTTCTGCCTAGTCCTGCTTGGTCCCCTTTCTATGCGTACAGGCACCATAGTTTCCGTGGACTCTGAGTGCTCTCAGCTCTGGCCGCTCTGTGCATCCTGCCTCTCAGACGACCTTGAACCCTGTCCTCTTGACCCTGGATCGCACCTTCAGGTGCAGTCGACGTCAACGTCGAAGGATGCACTTCTCTGTGGTCGTTGTCTCGCCAGACTCTGTCGACCCTACTACGCGGTGGAGGTCATTGTCGAGGTGCAGTTTGACTCCATCGCCTTGCCCTCTCCCCTTTCAGCTGATTCCGAGGAAGCACATCGTATTCATCTTTGCGTAAGCTCATTGCATTTTCTTATTCAGCCACTTTTACTGATACGTACAGTAGTGAATGGCTTCTTATTGTGTAGTCGGTAATGATCATACGTGTTTTAGAGCATGAGCATGTATGGGTCTAAGCCGTGGGCGTGCTCAGAGCATTCTAATTTTCCAGCCCAGTTCTGTGTAGGAAGAGAAGGGGTATGAGCAATACTTGTTTATTGTATGCAGAAACTCAGTGATAGTCTGAAGCCCTGTCGCGCGGCAGGCCCGGGCCCTGCGCGCGCGCATCTGTCTGCTAGCGTGCTGTGGGCGTGAATTCGTAAACGCCTTGCGAGGGTGAGTCACTAGCCGCTTGATCAACTGCTTAGCCAATAGCAGCCTGTGACACCTGTGATTGGCTGTTCCAGAGGTGAATGGAGGAGTGCAGTCGCGTGAGGGCTTGCAGGCTTGGCGCCGGAGGAGAACGGTCCTACAAGTATAAGCTTGCCATCTCTCCATTATTGGTCACAGGCACGTTTCAGTTCCTTTTGGTTTTACACCCAGTGGGTCTGTATAAATGAACTGCTGTGTTAGTGTTCCATGTAGGAGGGCGGGGTCTCCTAAAGGACCTCAGTGCACCTCCACGGTTGTTCAATCACAGTGGCTTAGGTTAATAGGTAAAACCATTGCCGCTGTGGTGTGGTGTCGTAGGGGGAGAGAAATAATGAGATGGCAGGGATAGTGCTTTCTTTACAGCGCTAGTTTAGGAAGGAGGACGTTGACTGTCGTACGAGCGTGCGTCCGAACCTGAACGGGAAGCAGCGTGCAAAGTGTGAGTGTGGGAGCAGGCACAGCGTCTACGGCGAGTTAATGGGTGATTCAGCCACAGGGCGATGATTGACCAGACCGGATTGGGGTAGGCGTGCACACATGCTAACAGTCGCGAGTGGTAAGCGTTCTTGTGGAGGAGGGTAACTAGAGTTCCCCTCGGTCTTAACTGGTATCTAGCTCTCCTCTGGGGTTCCACTAATCTATGTTCTGCGCCGCGACCGAGAACGGCTGGTTATGTTGGATAAAGTAACTTGTGGGGTTCAGCTTACACGATGAAGGTGTGTACAGATGAGGATTGGCTCAGCGTTCTGTTGCAGTCAGTCATAGCTATCCGCTTTTTAGGCAACAATAAAGTTGCTCCAGGTTTATGTCTTGCGGGAGTGGTGTTATTAGGCGTTTTATGGTTGGGTCGTACTACAGGAAAGGAAAAGTAAATTAAAGGGTGGAGCGTATAAAACAGAAAGTAATAGGAAATAGTTATTTAAATAGCCAAAATGTTGCGCGCGATAATAAAAATGACAAATACAGCCAATAAGTCACACGGACTGCGCAAAAGTACTTCTGCAAATAAGTCGAAGTTTGGAGATTAAAATAAAACCATTGAAAATAGTTTTTTCCTCATTATTTAAAACCTACAATAATTTCTAATGCATTTGGAGAGATATCGCATTATGACAAGCCTAAAGGCAGCTGCATGTTGCTTCAAACATTGAATTGAATAAAAAATTAAACTATTAGAAAATATCTACAAGTAAAAGAAAACTTATAGACTAATCAATAAACTTAAAATTAAACTAAGACTGATAAAATTAAAAGTAATCACAGGAAGTTACAGATTTCGGTGTGTAGTAGTAAACATAACCACGCATACTAAATTAAATATAGTAGGTATATAAGTGCATATATTTCTGGAACTCGTGAAACGTTATTGTTACACCCTTCGCATTCCAGATCATCAACCATTTAGGGTCTGAGAAGAAAACGACATTCAGTTTTACAGGGAGGCTATCGGGACTCACCTTTGCGGTAAATAGCCAAGGAGGTTGAATAAGTGGATTCTTGCGAATGAGCTGAAAGACCGAAGCATTGCTGATAGAAGCAGCTTACTCAAAGCGTACTGTCGCAGGCCACATCATGAGCGTCTGATTTTGTGACGATCGGACTTGTCCTTCCACTCAGATACAAGGACTCATGTCATAGGATAATACTGGTCATATCTGTTTGATAAATAGGGTAAGCAAGAATAAAAGGTGGCGGTTTTTGCGAAGCCAAAGTACTTTTACTCCATTGGCTTGTTCAAATACATCCGAAAAAGCGTAAAATGCGAGCATGCAATTTTATATATAGGGAATTAAAAGGCCTTTATCTGGGGGAACGAACTAAAACCGAGGTTATAGGCTAGATATTCCAGACGAACTGATCCCAGCTCGTGATGGCGAATCACCTTGAAGGAGGACTTGTGACGAATAAATCGTCAAATCCCACTCTTTGATGACAGGAACTGAAGATATAATTTAAGCTTATCATGTTGGCGGCTAGACCGCTAACTCTAAACCTCAGGTTTTTAATCTCCAGAGAAATTAATTTCTGATCGCGGTATATATCAG